CATATTAATTCTACTTTTCCGAACATCTTGCATGTTTTGACAACACTCTTACATGCACTTTCTACAAATTATAAAAGCATAAATTATCAACACGGAAACACGGTTTTCCAATTATCAATGATGTACCTCAAGGAAGTGAACTTGGAACTATATTTTATATAATACACACATATGATCTATCAACACAATAATAATCATTACTAGTTTACAATTAAACCAATACTTTCGACTCATACTAAACTACGTAACACGTAACTATACGTAACACGTAACTATACGTAACACGTAACTATACGTAACACGTAACTATATTTATGAAGAGATATTTCACCTAAATAAAATACAGCAATACCACGCAAAGTACGGCTTCGATCAGTCTAAAAAATCAGCAAAATAAAATCGAAAGGATTAATACACATAATTTGTTTTTTTTATACGTTTTTCAAACAGTGTGTGATGTAGGCCGTATACGAGTTGTTATTAAACTGAATAAAGTTATTTTTAATTTACTTTTTTTTGTATGAATTTTATCAATGTAATTTTATGTAAAAACTGTATGCTTACAGAAATACCTCACATAGTGCGGCTTTGATCATTTCAGATTCACTATAGAGAAATACCACGCATACTGTAGCTTCAATCAGTCCGGATTCAATAGTGAATTTACAAAATTTCAAAACAAAATTTTACAAAATTCTCTATTAATCCGATTTCAAAGAGTCCGCAATATTGACCGAACAAATTACTATGCGAGGTAATCAGTAACGCGGAATTCTGTAGTTAATAAAAATATATAAAATATTACAGAATAAAATCGAAAGGATCAATACACATAATTTGTTTTTTTATACGGTTTTTCCAAGTCTATTTATCATATTTTGTGTATATTAAGTTCCTCGATTAGTGCGGTTTCAAACAGTGTGGGATGTAGGCCATATACGTGTAATATAAAAAATGTTAATAAAATATCAAAAAAAGTAGAAATAAAAATTTAAGATTTATTACATTTTATTTTATTGAATTTCTTGTTAATACGTAACAAATTCCAGTGAAATTATTTTTTTTATCTAAATTTATGTTTCGATTATTTTCACTTGATTCATTTATGTACCGTGTTGTTATTCTAGTAAATATCAGAAAAAAAAGTTTTCGAATATCATTATGTACTGCACGTGGAACAAAATATCGATTAAATTACTATACTCAGTATGTGCTGTTGTGTGTTCAACTTTACTGCGTTTTACTAAAAAACAATAATATTTTTATTTTTTTTTGTTATTAGATATGAAAATATATTTTTATACTGCATAAATTAGATATTTTTAATGTAATTTTTTATAACAATTGAATTGGAAAAAAATATTTTGTCAAATAATTTGTATATAATAATTTAAATAGTAATTTTACAGATAATCCATTTTATAATGTATGATGTTATATAATTATAATGAACGTAATGTTTCTTAAGCAACAGATGGATCATGAAGTGGATAAATCGTTGAAATGCTAAGGAAGAGGAGATTCACTTGAGAAGATGAAATCTGTTTGTAAAGTTTAAGCAAATAATCGTGATTCGAGAGTTTCACTTTTACGACGTTTATCATTGAATCGAATCCAATCTTATATGCACAAAACATATGCAGAATTTATTTTATAAATTCAATTTGTAATACATTTATACGATTGATATTAATTGATAAATTACTCTAAATAATCAATAAAATCAAACGCAAAATATTATTAAGACTGTTTCCCAAATTCATAAGATTGATTTATATTATCTATGAAAATTCGAATAATGTACAACAATTATAAAATATTTTTCCATTTTTGAATTCATTTCACATCTAAGTTATTATTTTGATGTTACATAATGATGTGTACGAATGTTCGTTGTTTTGTTTCATTTTAAATGTTGTAGAATTATTGAATTAATAACAATGTATGCGCATTCGGTCAAGGTTATGGCAACTATTTTATTTATAAGTCTTCAATTACGTTACATGAAAATTTTCGTTTGTATTTCGTTTCAATAATAATAGATGATTTTGAAACAAAAAAAAGTGTATATTTATCTTCTCAATTTTTCAATAATGTTGTTATTAAAGACAGGACATAATAATGATGAAATTATATTATACAGCAATACCTCGCTTAGTCCGGATTCGCTATAGTCCAGTTTGTAAATTTAGTTTGAATCAAAATATAAAAAGATGAAGACAACATTATTATATTCAACCCTTTTTTGTGCGGTTAATTTTCATATTTAGTTCCTCGATTAGTCCGGACTGGTTTGAAACAGTCCAATATATTAGCAGAACCGATTAACCATACTACACAAGGTATTGTACATATTTTCTTATTTTATCTAGGAATAACATCTTTGTGTTACATTTTATTCATACTACCTACCTATTGAGGATAACACGAGAAGATAGTGTCTACTGACAACCATTTCGTGTTATATTTGTTATGAAATACAAACATAGTTAATTGTCATAGTCACACATAGTCAGTGATCGATAATTATTTGCTTCAGGGTATTTCCACTGTTAATAAAATATTATTGACGTTCTTGGTTAACAAATAAATATGAATGTAATGATAGTATCACAATTCATTAAATTAATATAATTAAGTATTGTCTATTTATCATTATCAATCTTAATGTTGAGACTTTCATTCATAACCATCACTAACATAAGTAAGTTAGTTGTATTTTTGACGATTATAAATAAAAGAGTATATTAACAAATTGGATCGTACTGTTGAAAAACAATATATTCATTGATTATCCTATCTTTGACAATAATTATGGTTTTCAAATACGGCAACTTATCAGAACACGTAATTTTAAGTGTATTTGTCTATACTTTATTAGTCACCAGTAGTTCCAAATGACAAGTATAATTTTGTAATAAATTTCTAACTATGAATAATACCACGAAGAGACGCACTTAATCTAATGCAAATTGCTGATTAAGAAGTAAATCATAATATGAACTTCGGGCGATTCATTCGTCATTAAATTTCCATTCTCACGATGGTTGTACTTTTTTTGAAAAATCACCGGATACGAAGCGCCAACGGATTCATTCGTCCACCTTAAAGAAGAATAACTTTATAACCGGGGGACCCATCAGACCAGAACTTAAATTCATTATATAATTTCGTTAGATGTCTCGCATTCGTTCATGGAGAAGAATACGAAAGAGGTGGCGCGCAGGAAGGAAAACAGAAAAAAAAGTTTTCCTCTCCACTTGTTTACTATATAATTTGCCCCAAGAATTCCCATCATCATCAAAAACGATTCTAATTGCATAAAGATTTATTACATCCATTTCGCAACTCACATGCAATAGGAAATTATTAAAGACGAGAGACAGAGAGAGAGAGGATTGCATTATATTTGTTTGTTGCTGTTTCCTACTCGTTTCTTTTATCTGCAGTTCTCACGGATTGTTTAATTAATTTACATTGCTTCTAATCAATTTTCCTTGAAAGCGATGATGTGCATTTACGTTTCATTGTCTTAAGTGTTTTTCGAGAAGCTTTCAAGTGTATCCTCTTGATATTCTCAATTATTTGTATATTAAAACTATCAACATCAAATATTAACGTCGTAATTATAAAATGTGATTATTAGATAGTAACAACAACAATTCAATTTTAAGATAATTATAATTTAATCTTAAAAAAATAATTATATAATCCAAATAATTTAAACAAATCATATACAGTGGAAACTCGCTTAACGAGTTTAATCCGTTCCAAAATTTCCGGATTTTTACTCGTTTAGTAAAATATATTCAAAAATACATATAATATGTGTACACAAGTTTTAAAAATTATGTGGCAGGAGCGCAATCCGGGACTTCTCTTCTCATCATCACTCGTTATGCAAAACGTCGCTCGTTAAGCGAGTAATTTTTCGTACAATTCATTTTGATAAATGCTCGTTAAGCGAGATTTCCCTGTTAAATAACTTATATTGTAGCTTGTATAGTTGGTTGCCGGTAACAATGTATAATAATTACATCAATTTCTGATCAAATTTCTTCACATTAATGATATATATTGATTTTAATTTAATAAATATAAATTTATAATTTTTACCTAAGATTATTTCTATTTTTAAATTTAAACGTGTTTGGAAACATTGCCAATATGAAAATACTTTTTGATGACAAGTTGGTAGCCTACATCAATATACCAATAATCAAATACATGTCTTCAATATACCAATTAACTGAATTATTAACACGTTTTGTATAAATAAATAATTTAAATTCTTAAAATAATTTAAATATTTTTCAAAATTAGGTATGTTTGGTTGTCTATAATGCATTCAACAGTATTAGAAAATCCAATTTATGCTAGCATTTTTTAAATTCAAACCTTAATTCGTTTTTATTATTTATTTTGTTGCATCTAAATATGTTTTAATAGAATTTCGAAAATTGATAAATTACTATAATTGAATGTTCTTTTAGACGGAATTTCAATGAATATTCTTTGGAAATACATTATATACATTTATTTTTCTATTATATAAATACATAACATACTTGATTTCAAAATAAAGTAATAAATGTTATTAGTGTTAACAATAATTCAAAATTACATAACATTAGCGTAAATGTTACATAATATTGAACAAAACTGCTTTTATTAATAATGACAGTCTGAGTAATAAAGATTATATAAAATAAAAGGCAATAAACAATATATTTAATTAAGGTTTACTATGATTTCACTAATCTTTATATACATGTGCTAATTATATAACGATGTTTAATTAACATTTAGTAATTATCTTAATGAAATATTTTGGTTATTTACATGAATTTCATATCGTATTATATTAAATATTGTAAATATATTAGTTATAGTAATATTGCAACCAATAATTGAATGAATTAAAAAAGGAAATAAATAATGAATATTAACAGATGTAAAAAGTGTATTTTCTACAATTTACAAAAGATTATTTAGCGTTTAGGGAAACCTGGATGACACAGAAACTACATAACATTCTAACCTAAAAAAAAAGGGCATCAGTCTGTCAGTAATCCAGCCCTTATTGCAGGCAAACCCACCTCCAAAAATAGATCAAGCTATTTACGGATATTAGAATAATTACAATAAACGTAACAGTCGTTGTCGGGATGCATTTGTTAATAAGAAAAGATGTGTTTAAGATTACCCTCGGCCCTAATCGGGGGTGTGAAGTACACGGCTTACTAAAAAATAAAAAGATTAATTGAGTTTTGTTGCTCTCCAATTGGTTTGTAAGATTAGCGATTTTTTTAAAATTTATTCTTTTAAATAAAATTGATGAATTCCGTATCGTGATGTGATTTTATCAGGTGCTTCCCAAACTGAGGGAGCTTCAGTGCATACGTCAAATTAATGGGTAACATATTTTGTTTTCTGTATTTTTTTTTCTCTTTGTAAATAATTCATAGTATATAAATGTATTCCACATCTTTTTTGATATTTTATATGTGTTCACTTATAATAATCGTATAATATTATATAAAGAGAAACAAACATTTTGTATGATTTTGGTATAGCTTTTTTACCTAAAGTTAAAAAAAACAATACATTGCCTTGTCTTCCTTCATATAATTATATAATATGTTGATGTTTTATTTAGAACAATACACAATTATTCACTATAGTCCGGTTGGAATATTTCAAAACAAACTGAATTTTAATTTTAATTGATCAAAATAAAAATTAATTCTATATAAATAGTACACTAAAAATGATCTTTAGACAGTCAACACAGTTGATTTTTGTTTGTATTTAGTATTTCGATTAGTCCGGTTTCAAACAGTCCGGGATATTGGCTGATTAGCTGCACTATGCGAGTTATTGCTGTAGTTAATATTATAACATCTTTAGTTGGCTATAAAAAAATATTATTTACTTCTTCGTAATATTTTACTATGAATACAATATCTGATATGATCAATGTGAATATTGTTTCCGCATTCCATTTAGTATATACCGTTACTCCGAACTTTTGGATTTATTTAATGGCATTTTTTCAACGTTACAAGAACACTGAATTATGTTCCTACTAAATTTATTACAAGTTTTCCAATAATAAATAAAATATTACATAATTTTCTCCGAATAAACTATTGTATTCGTGAATGTTTGTATTTAGACTGTACTATTTATAGCTAAATAATCGTAATACACACTTAAATAATATATGTAATTGGAAATCAATAAGCTTTAAATGAGCGGTGAACAGATACATTATTTCCATCAATATTTTTATTTATAGATTCTTAATATAGAGTTTTTTTTATAAATACAGGTTTAGTCCTTAAAGTGCTATATATAGTTCAATATTCTAATTTTTAGTAGTAATAGTTTCATTCTGAGAAAAAGCGATTTTTTTAGTAAAATAAATATACAATTTTTCAATTTAAGAAGATTTATTTCCATCATTAAAGTTTTGTTTTATAATGCAATATGTGTTGTACAATTAATAAAGTTTACAAATATTTAAATAAAGTTAGAATAAAATCATGTCTTTAGAAGAAAATCATGTCTATTATTCATGTTAATTTACATGCAAAAGTTAATTAGTATAGTGATTTGATAATAACTTATATTCAATTTATTATCAGAATTAATAGGAAAACGTTAATGAATCTTACATGAAAATGTAATATTTTTATTTGCATTTACAACATTTTGTTTTTACAAATCAATTTGTTTTAGATTATGTATTTTGTATTAAGTTAAGCTATTTCTGAAATAGTTTGTCCATTATCAATAATATATTTCTTCTATAGTATCAGAAGTTTGTTTAACTAATACTTCTCAAATATTTATAGTTTTATGCAACACAATATACTGCGGTGCATGAAGAACATATAAATCGAATTTACAAACCTATTTAGTGTAATTGCATATGCATGGAGGAGAAAGTAGTGAATTTGAGAGAAAGATAATCGATCATCAGATTACACCAATTTCCAACGTATCTGACCCAATTGCACACCAGAAAAGTGAAATCATTCACGCTTTTTTAATATCTATTCAGGTGCATTTCAATTCGTTCAGGTGCACTACAATTTATTCAATTATGTCATAAATTCAAATAAAAGATATGGAAAGTTGTGTTTATTTGTTTTGTAATAATAAATTAAAAAAAACTACGAAGCTTAACGTATTATCTGACGCACAAATTAAGCTGATTAACAATTCGATGCGAAACAAACGTGTACAATTGTAATTAACTATAAAACAATGATTTTCTGGAAAGTGATTATAATAATTTTAATTACCTTTCAATGCGCATATTCTCTCCTGGAAATATCTTTGCCTCAAGATGGCTCTGATCCCGTAGGAAAACTCTCGGAACGTCAATGTTCCGCTTCCTCTAGCATCCAGCTGCAGAAGAATTGAAGCCAAATCCTACAAAAAAAAAATAGGAAACAACAATCATCATCATGCGATATTATTACCTAATTAAAACACGGAAACGGAGCTCGAACAACATATTTATATGTTTTGCTTCCCTCTTACGAAACGAGGTGTATGATTAGTCACGAATCAAACCGGGAAATTGGGTTTTGAGGAAATGCAAACACGGGCGTCGCAGTTGTTGTTGTCTCGTCAACAATTTTGTTATTACAACTCGTTTCGATGTTATATGGATCAAAGAGCGCAAATTAACCCGATCGAAACGCGTAACAATGTTATTCCTACTCTCATACCGTGAAAGTTTCCAATAGCAAAAAAAACTGCAGTAATTAATAGTTATTTCGAAAAAAAATAGATATATAAGAAAAATGAAATGATTGCATTTACACAAGTTTCTCGTCGCTAATTGGATTTGGGATCTCTACAAAAAAAAAATGTATATGCGATCTGCATATTGTGTTCTGTTGTTTTCGCTGTTGTTGCAGATGTTTGAATAATCATTGATCGAAAACAATGAGTGTGTGAGTCAGAATGTTCTCAAAGGAAAGCGAGAAGGTGTGAGCCTAAGTGTAGCAATGAAAAATAAGAGAGAGAAAAAACAATTGTCGGGATTATTAGAATTATTTGCTTGTTGTCATGCGAATGGAATGCATCCGACGAAAACCGGAAACAACCTGTGACCTACCGGATGTGCTCCGACCGTCGCAATGGACATAAACATATCTATTTATATCAAACGTGCGCGATTTCACAAAAACATCGACGCAATTTCCATACCGTTTCGCCTTGTAATTATTAACAAATATTTAATTAAATCAGTCAGTTTGCGTCTTTCCACACATATTTGTAAACAGTATTTCAACAATTTTAAAGAGAAAAAGTTGGTAATTCATTAATAACATACTATTAATTGTTAGTTAATAATTTTATCTATAATTAAACTAAGAATATGTTGTGGTTTCATTTTGTCGGTATATTTTTAATCCAAATTGTATATTTCCTAAGTAATTATGAAAATCTCGTATAAACTCTTCATGTACAAATGCCACATAGTCAAATTTTGGATATGCTTACTTCGCGCATGCGCACTTCGTGGTATTCTAGGTTATGTTCTCAAGTTGACAAGTGCTTCAGTACTACAGATAGATGAGGATTCTAACTTAGCTACCGTGGACTAAAACACAGTGTTTATTGATGTATCATTTAAAGAGCTGGCTAGTCTATTTCTTTGTACGAAGATAATCATTTTCGTGGTAACCAAATAAAGAATGAAGGTAGGTTGACAGCGGAGGCTGATTGCAATTGTTTAATTGAAGATATGCTCAAAACAAACAAACAAACAAAAATAATTAAAACATAGAAATTTACGGATATTCTGATCTAAACATCAGTGAAGCATGAAAGAGGCACGAATGCTTTCAATCTTACCTATGCTCTACTGTACAATTAAAAAAAAGGAAAGGGTGCACGTATAGAATTTGTTTTAGTGAGACATTTAAAGATAATATTGCAATACACAACAAGGAAATTACTCTAAATCGATAGAAATTAATAAATGCTATCTGTTTTTTTGACTTTGCGAGAACATTTTGAGGAATATAGAGGAAATTATGTTGAATTGCTATATATACTCAGTGTTTTTTGTGGTTGAAAATTCAGCACCCGCCACTGTTGTACAACAGTATTTCATCAATTTTAAAATTAAAAAATCTATGGTTAATTCATTAATAAATTTATATTATTTATTAGATAATAATATTAACCAGAACCAACAACATTTATATTATAATATCCTTTGGTTCTTTGATTTTTTTTTCAATATTTGTACAGTTTTCACTACTTTACGTCTTTTCACACATTTGTATACAATATTTCATAAAATTTAAAAATCTGTAGATAATTCATTAATAAAATCAATTTTTAAAGAGGCATTTGTATCCACAATCAACGATAAGCTAACTGTTTGGTCTTTGGTATGTTTGTTTTTTAAATCCAAATTGACTGAATATTTCATACATTAGGCATTTATTTTGTACACGCTTCAATTTTTAACGCAGCAGTGATAGTGGCCTGAATCATAACAAGAAAGGTCATCTAGCGTCTGGAGATATTTGATAAGTTCAAATAGCCATACTTTTGAATCTTAAATTGCTTTCGATAATAAACAAAATTTCCTACTTTACACGTCTATATTCATACCGAAATACCATTTCTTTTTCAAGATCAAAAATAATAAATATTATAAGGCGGAAAAACCTTGGTTAGCTTTTTGGTCCAAAATGGTTCTATTTTATTGAATGATTTTTTTTACGAAATTATATAAAAAAGTTAACAAAGTAAAATTAATTTTCATTAGAGGAAAATTGAATTAATGAAATATACTCAGATTTCTTACAATCAAATTTAACAAAACTTTACAGCGTTTTCACTAAAATCATACTACGAAGTTCGTTGATATGTTATCTAAATTTTTAATGTTGACTCATTAAACTTCACTTCCTCCATCTAATTAGATTTGTAATTAGTTGAATTCAGTCCAAATAGAATATTTATTAAATCCAGCATCACGTAATGTGCATAACTTAATGCCAGATCTATTTCAATTAAACGTTATGTTACATACGGATTAATGTAGAAAGCATTAATTATATACATTCCTTAAATATTTATGTACATATCTTGTTTACTTAAACATTTCAGCTAACCGAAGAAAGTTTGCTGCACTGCACATCGCAAGTTCCGTAAGTTTTTACAAATTATTAAACATTTTAATTGCCAATTATGATTTAAATTTTAGTTGTTTAAAACAAAAATAAAAATATTATAATTAACATGGAATTAATATCCGGAAAATGTAATTATTATTATTTATAATGATAAGAAATACATATTTTATTAAGAAATTTGAATATGAATTTATGATAATATTAAATAAACATTTTTCTGCTTTTTTAATTCTAGTTGATCTTCAAAATCTAAACAGATTTCCATGGATAAAGCAAGTGGTATGTATTTGTATATATTGAAAAAAATATATTGTTACATCATTGAGAAATATACAAAAGAGAACTTTTAGTATATTAGTATTATTTGTAGAGGTGTACAGCAATACGTCGCATAGTGAGGCTTCGATTAGTACGGTTTGAAAATCCTCGATTAATCCGGTTTCTAACAGTATATGTGCTGAACTAATTACCCGCACTATGCGAGGTATTGCTGTAATTTTTGTTGCGTATATTAAATATTAATTAGATTAAAAGACAAAATCATATTTTTTAGTTGTTTTTATTACTAATAAGCAGACTTACAAATTTTAGTATTAGATTTTGCAGCGAATGCACTTAGAAATGTGGATTGACTAAAAATATCGGTTTAATGATTAAAGTAAACCGTAGAAGCCAAAAATCAATTGGAAAATATTTATTTAGTACGTGTGATGTTTTTTTTTGCTAGTGTTATCTAAGATATAGTTTTTATTTTGCGTTAAGTGTGTATAATTTGCTACATCTATTAATTACGTAATATGAAAAAAATACATAATCAATTGGTTTATTCTTTAAATCTTGATTGAATAATATTGATTGAATTTCATAGAAAGTACATAAAAAATAATAAGAATTCATATAAAACAAAATAATTAATGAAACTTTAAATTATTTAGAAAAAATACATAGAAAATTATTTATTCCAATAAAAATAAAATTAAACCATTTGAAACATCTTAAAAAATGCAATAATTTATTTAAAATAAATTTGAATTTTACATTGTTAATTGAAGTCAAATTTAAAAAATCAACAATAATACCTTTATTTATTGAATTCTAACAATCATAATGTTTTCTTGTTATATTTGAAATGATTAGAACGTGTTAGCACATAATAATTTACAATTAGTAAAAGATTGTAGATCAAAGTTTGAACACTTTGTGTCTGCCAAGTGATAATTATAAAGAAAACATAAGCACCGTGCAATTTCTAAACGTGATATCATTGCGAAACTTTTCGCATTCTTTAAACATTATATCAACAATTTATTAACAAACATCTCAATGCTATATAAAATTGTAAATTATTTATTTAATTGTATTTTTACGCATAAACTATATTAGAAGACCGTCAAATTTGACTGTATACAAAATTGTATAGGGGCTTATTGAATTCAGTAATTTAATGTATTTAGGTGACACAAAACAACAATGAATTTTGCATGAATTGGCAAATTTGTTAATTCAATAAAAAAAAGGAACAGAAAGGATTCATATTTCTACATCGTCAATAAACTTCGAAGAATATACTAGATGAGAAGCAAATCCAAGAATTAATAGTCAGCGTTAAAATAATGAAAAACTGATTAGTAAATTCTTTTACATTTATGAATCCCGTTAATTGCATCTAAATACTTAACTTTCGTCTAGCTTGCAAATAATAATTTTATTGTAAGTAATGTTGATTAGAAACTTTATACATGATAATGACTACAAAAGAATGTCGTTTAATTATTGAAAAACTAACGAGTATTATTATCTACATTTATTTGTGACGTTCATTATCCAATTAACCATAAGGTTCTTTAACCGTTTATGTAATCATACGTAAATACTTACAATTTAAGATTAATTTTACGTATTACAAAACATACTTCAAATTAATTGCACAGAAACACATATAAGTTTCATATCGCTATGGATGGGTTTTCAAAAAATAAATTTATTTGAAACGTTACAATATTTTGTAATATTTTTAATAAATAAATATGTATAACATTGTTTTTTTGTTGTATAAAAATATGATTTCGTGCTTGCTGTTACTTACTTACTTTATTTATCGTTACCACAAAAGCAAAGATATAGAAGCATGTGGATAATTTCCGGAATAATTTTAATTGACGTTTGTTAGCTTCAATGAAAATATATTTTACGTAATTTAAAAAATTAAAAGTTTGCTTATTATTTAACTTTCAGTTAGTTGAATTTTTATAAAGTGCATTAATGTTTTCATTAAAAGCAATAAAAAAATAACACTCAAATTGTGAATTAGAAATGTTTTATTTGCGAGATATTCTTTGACTTACATTTATTATTTATAAGAAATTACATTAACAATAGATAATAAATGTACAATGTTACATTTATAATGTGAATTAAACACTTTTGATTAATGTTTTAAGTAAAAGTGATAACAGAACAATACAAAACATAACTATTGTAAATTATAAATGCAGTTGATATATGACTTGTGAGAATGTATTTTGAATGGGAGTGCATTAAATCACTTTTTACTAAAGTATTCATTAAAAACGATAACAAAACAATATAGAAAAAAAATAGGTCAGATATTAATATTTGGTCATGGGCACACACATAAACAAAGAGAAACTTTCGATTGTAGTTACGCATTTCTATGTCACAGAATAATCGATTTAAAAATATTAATAATTTGTATTAATTACTAAATTATTTAGAAATTATTAATAGTATTGTGCTGTTGAGGTTAATAAAAGTACCTTAGAACCATCATTGTCATAAAGAGTGGCCAATTCCAGTAAATACTCGATTCGCACTTTTCCTGTACCCTTGGGATCGCAGATCTTGAAAACGTCCACCAACTGCTTCATGGAGACGGCATGTTTGATCCGCTTGCCCGGCATGTCGCTATTCCTCGAGGATCAACCTCTTTCGCATTCGGGAATGATCAGAACTCGCGCTCGATTCGCGCTCATACCGAACACTGAACGGTGGTCGTCGCAGCACCTGAGCTCTTCCAAGCTACGCAGCTAATTACTTCCACATAGCCTTGCCCATTGGCTCCGAATGTGGAAACTCGATTCTATTATTCGTTTCGTTAAATCGGATTCTCGTTTCGAATTGGATTTCATTGCAAAATTGCTTCTGGTCAACGAGCATGTGCCTCGTAAATGGTAGATCATTCAATTTGAATTAATTAAGTCAATAGAATGAGGTCTTGGTGTGAGTCTTACGACGGGCAGTTCCTTTACAACCATCGACGAAGAAAAACGCGCCGCGTAACCAGAACATTGGCATCCGCGGCCGTCTGTTTACGTTCCGATAAGATAGCATACGAAGCACGATTTCAGTGTTTTAAATCCACGTGACGATAAGCTATATACAGCTGTGCCATTGGACGACGAACATCCACACTTTCGCGTAGAACTTACACATACTCCTCTCTATATTATTTTTTTGGTCTTCTTGTCGACACAGAAACACGCGCGCTCATGAGCCGCTAGTTTACTCATTTATTTTGTAGAGAGAAGTTCACGAAATGTCCAAGTTCGCAGCGTTCGTGAAGAACGCGTTCACAAAACATCCAGTTATTGCGAACTCCGTCATCTATGGTACCCTTTATCTTGGAGCTGAGATGTCTCAGCAGGTGATGACGAAGAAAGTTCTCGTAAGTAGAAAATATTATTCAAATATTTCCGCTTTATGTAGTCATTATTCTTTTGTAGACTGATAAACCAGAACCGATGGACATGCCCACCTTGGCGAGATATGGATTTTATGGTACTATTATTCAAGGACCGCTGTTAACCTTCTGGTAATACACAACACATTATAATTTTAAATTTTTTATTCAAATTACTGCGCTCCTCGTGACATAGGCAACTTATTATACTCTTCTTTCTATCTTGAAACTATTTACCAATCAAACTATTTACTTACAATAATTTACTTTAATGCAATCCACTTTAATCATATACAAAGAGAGATTTAAAGATTACATAATATTAGTGCCTTTTTCTATGTTCTATAAAACACACTTTACAATAACAATTGCATAGCAACTAATTAAGTATTATGCAACAATCATCTTATTATCAATCACACAAAATATTTCAATAACTGTCCTTTTATATATAATTATTATATTAAAGTATTATATAAATGCTAATAATAATCATTTTCTAAGAATTAAAACTTATTTGACTTTTTGATTTTGTCTGATTCTTAAAATGTTTGTTTATAAACGAATAACAAATTCTACTTACATATTCGTTTAATGCTCTATACGAAGTTCAAATTTGTTGAGAGTCAAAGGTCAATACGTTTTATGCAACAATTTAGCATATAAGTACATCTCGTTATTCAATCTTAACAATTGTGAGTGAAATCGTCAGAATTATTATTTTTCAATTACTGCAATACCTCGCATACTACAAGGCTAATTCAAGAACTAAATACATAGACAATAAAAGAGACATAACTGTATAAAGGGAAAAACCAAACATTATTTTTTGTTCCATTTTTTAGAATTAAAATAACTTGGAAATTACAATACTAACCTAAGTAATATTCTAATTAAAAAATCGCTTAAGAGAAGAATTTAACCTTGGAAGTCTCATATCATTATGAGTAAGATAATATAACTAATTTGATGATTTTTATTGAAAGTTAATTTGTATAACAAATATAAGAATGTTATTGAGATATTTAGATTATATAGAAAATATTATAAAAATAGTAAAAAGTAAACTTATATTGTCATCACACTTTTATAAATTACAGTACTTGTTTAATTTCGACTACAGTAAAAGTGATAAGGTTGAGACTCATAAATTAATTTAATTTTAGATTAGCTTTAGAATTGCAGTGCAATAGGTTTATGAAGCTTTATTATGGAATTGTTTTTAATTTTAATAGTACATTAACCTTGTTATTTTGAATAAAAAAAAAACGTTGTATGTAAATTTACTTTTTGTGTTTTAGGTACAAATGGTTAGATGCGAAATTTGTTGGTACTGGTCTAAAATTGGTTGCGAAGAAATTGATGGTAGATCAATTTGTGAGCGTTCCGCCACTCCTATTAATTTTCTTTGTTTGTGAGTGAACCATCAATAATATTACATTACATATTATAAAAAAATATTGTTTCTATGTATTTTTACAGCTATGAGTATTATGGAGAGAAAGCCAAATGTTTTGGAAGAATTCCAAAGCAAATTCAAGCAAACTTTTGTGAACAGTTGCATGTTCTGGATGCCGGTGCAGGCCATCAACTTCACCTTCGTTCCAGCAGCTTTTAGGGTCGTCTACATTGGCACGGCGAGTTTCGCTTGGGTCAACATTCTTTGCTACATCAAGAGGCAGCAATATTAAGCAGTTATTATTGTATTGGAATTTAGTCGAATTTAGTTAGTAAGCTCAAATGAAAGACAAAACAATTAATTAACGCATGTTTTCACTCTCGAAGTGAAAAATTTGAATTGCTTTCAATTACTGCGTGGATGATATATATTTTTTATTATAGAAAACACATTTTTAAATTTTAAATGGCAAATGCCGATTGAGAGGTTTTTCTTAACTATAATAATACTTTTGGTGTGCACAAATGTTCTGTAGACTTCTAGTTTATTCAAATTCTATGAAGGGATAAATTACAATAAAAATATCTGTGATATGTACTATAGCAGCATACTTTCAGTATGTTCAATTTCCGAATGCTTCCCAGGGACGGTTCCTTTGTATGTCTTTATTTCTTGAGATTATACAAATTTTTGCAGAAGAAATTCGTTTTCTTCAATTTGGATTAGACATTGTTCGTATTTTAATAATGTAATTAATTGTTTCTTAATAAAAAAGACATATTTGATTTTAAGTAGTTATTTCGATTTACCTTGTATCTTTATATTGTTTTATTATATTTGTAAATTGATATTATCTTAAACAATTTATATCTCACATTATAATTAAATTGTAAATTTGCATTTCCTACATAAAATTATTATTAAATATTGATATAACTTCAAAATTTGTTTCAATAAATTTTATGAAATAAATTAAAAATTGTTAATTTGATATGTTCAAATTGTAACATATGTAGAATTAGAACACAAATATACAACAAAGAATTCAATAATTTGGGTTGTATCAGATTTGATCGAAATATTTGCAAATCTTAATATATATATAGATATACGTTATTTGTGCAAATTTGATAATAAAGTTGCATATGTAAATATAGAAGATATAAAAAAATTGCGCAAACATTAAGAAATTGCTGCAATTATTAAATAAGAATACAAATTGTATTATAAGTAAATTACACCATATTGAAGTCAGATTTCAAATATTAAAATATTAATTTTGATACAAATAAAATTGTTTCAGATCGGAATCGTACGAAGACTTATATATACGAAGATTATATATAGCAAATATTAATATTACAAATAATAATACGTAGTTAAATAGTATAAATTATATCTATATACAAATTGTATTGTTTTCTCTTTTTTTTTGGGAAGTAATGGGTTTTTCTTTCAACCAATGTATAAATCATTAAGTCAAATTATAAGTCATAACTTAAACTAGTTTAGTACGTTATCATTATGTAACCAAGGAAAATGTTTATTAATTGATATATAATAAATTCAATCTGAATATATTGTAAATTGTTCCATAATTGAAAATATTAGATAAACAAATTATAAATCATCAAAAACTATTAATATTAAAGCAATTTACTATATTTTATGGGCATGCCCGACGTTCGAAATCCCGACTGTATAGAAATCTCGACGTTCGAAATACATCGAATATGTAACATAATCCCGACTATATCTAAAATTTCTACAATAACATTTTTAAATTATTTTGGAGCGTAGTCACCTGAGCTACATTTTTATTTTTAATAACAATAAATTATTATTAATTTATTTGATTTTGTTGAATTATTCATAATAAACCTTAACATTATGAAATAATATCAAATACAATTAGATTATAAATTGTTGTTATTTATTATTAATAACAATTTAAAAGTAATTTAAAAATGTTATTGAAGACATTTTTGATATTGTCGGGATTTTGATACAGTCGGGATTATGGTTGTCGGGATTTTAATATAGTCGGGATTTCAATACAGTCGGGATTTCGAACGTCGCGAATTTGATTGACGGTATTTCGGTTGTCGGGCTTGGGATTGCACCGGTATTTTATATATCAAAACATTAAAAATAAAATATGTTTTTAAGTCATTATTCTTGTATGTAAATTATTGATGTTTAATTTGTGTTATAAGAATACTTTTGTGGGTATTACAAAAATGGATCAATCAATCATTATTTAATATTTATTAGACTATTAACGCAAAAAAATAAAATATTATAATTATAACTAATAAATAAATGTGTTTACATAAGTTATATTAATGTACTTTAATGATTTAGTAAAAACAAAGATTAGTTTTATATATGGTCACGAATTTGTAAAAAGGAAAGTTTAGCATTTAATGGCAAAGCTATTTTCGAAAAATGTCAAAACACATTGTATAAAGAGGTAATGCACAAAGAAAAAAAATGTGAACTTCGTGTGTGTTTGTCTGTATTTCATTCGGCTTAATTCAATTGAAATTTCGACTGCGAGGAAGTGGAAGCTTGTAACAATTTTAATATATACATATAATTATAACATTAAGGCTCAATAAATAGTGAGCTTTACAACACCAATTCAGTCTGTTAATGAAAGCTGCCAAGATGCAATCTCTGAAAAAACTTTTGAACATCGGTAAGTCCACATTTGAACATAAATTTAACAATTTACACATTTTTTTTCAGGGAATTTGTACATTTTCTTGTATATTTTCGGCGTTTTAAAAGTAATTATCAGTTCGACTGATTTAAAAACATGTTTTAATTTCATTCTTTATATTTAGAGAACAAAAGTTTTTGCTCAATCGCATTGGATTATACTGCTACCATTATCTTTAATTTGCACCGTTTTTATGTGTATAATTTTGGTTATCTCATCAATTTACTATGAAATTATCAATTTCGTGTTGAGGTTGAAACACTCGGATGATTATTACGGTATTATGGATGGACCCGATTTACTTTGGTTCGTCGAACAAGGGAGTTCTTCGTTAATCAACACGCTCTTCATGATCGATGCCAAAGATGGAGAAGGCTGTGAACCGCTTTTCGAATTCATGAAAATCTCCTATGAGAAAATCTGCAAAACGCACGAGAAGATGAGCTGCGTTCGAAGATATTTCATGGGCTACCGGTATTTCCTCAAAACGCACATCAACATCCACGAGCACGTGAAGTATTTGGAGAATTACAAAGATGTGAAAGGACTGAACTTGCTGATGGATAAGTTGAGTAACTCCCCTTTACCAGCTGGGAATACGGCTTTATGGGAAATGTATATTGGAAGAGTTCCTTTAAAGTGGAAAAAGAACGGTGGTAATGTTCAGTATCCAATTTTCATCAAGTATCATCACAGCCTTGCCGACGGTATCTCATTAACCACTTTAATGATCACGCAGTTATTCGAAAATGGAGTGAACATCATGAAAGAAAACTGTAAAACTTACAGAAACGTTCTAAACAAGATAGCCTTAAAAAATGCGAAGCCTACATTCCTGGAGAACTTAAAGAAAATTTTCAGTCAAAGTTACTACATCACTTATTTCGGTCCTCTGGATGACAATGATGAAAACATGCTACATGGTAAACACTTGAGCCACGAAAAGCACGTCTGCTACTCCAAAGAGAAAGAGACAACGAATTACGTGGAGAAAGTAAAATCTATCAAGAATCGGATTAAGGGAATCTCTTTTAATGATGTAATCTTGTCAGCGTTTTCAGCGAGTTGTGCCGAATATTACATGGCTCACGATGAGGTAACAATGCCTGTAATAGGATGAACTTAGTTTTCAATTTCCGTTCCAATTTGCAGAATCCTCCGGAGAAGATTCGTTTCGTATTTCCGTATTATTTATCTTCGGTCAACTTCGAAAGCAAAGTGACGACTGGTACTAACGGAGAAATCGTTGCAAACTTAAATAATAACTTCGCATTGGGTTTTCTCAACATCCCTATCAACGACAAGGACATCGCCAGGAATATGGTGGACAGGTTGATGTGCATCAGTAAGGATTCGCAAATTTCAAAGGACAGTTTAGATTTTCCGGTGAGTCAGATTTCTTTCCAGGTTCCCAATTTCATAAAAATATATACTTGTGCCTATAAATAATCTATTATGGGGCAAAAGGAAACATTCAATCCGCGTTTTCCAGGATTATTGTATTGAAATTTGAATTAAAATGATTGTATTAATACGTTGCAACTTTATGTCTTTCCGTTATTGAATTAATATATAAAAATAAAATGCAGAAAAATAGATTTAATTGCAAAAAGAAGAAATGTTCATTTGTCTATAAATTAAAATAATGTTGTGAAAATTATTTTTACACTTATGAAGTTATATAATTTTAATTTATTTCATGAAAATAAATATACTTTAGTCAATAATTTTCTGTGAAGGACTTTTTATAAGATCTGCCATCAAATTATATTCTAACGTAACGCTGTAAATTATAGATTTTTCAGTGCGTTAAATGTTATAGTTTTGATTTGAGTAATATCAAATTTCAATAAATTGACAGAAACTATCCTTTATTCGCTTCCGGAATGTTTGGGCAATTTTATTTATTACCGTATTAGCCCGAATATAACGCGACTCCGAAATTTTCATAGATATTTAGAAAAGAAAAATATTATAGGTAATAATATATATATAGGTATTGGTCGGACGTTCAGTCACGTTTCAACCTCTGTAGGAAAATTTCTATTTTTTAACGGAAAATAAATGGTCGAAAAATATTGCGTTATATTCGGGTTAATACGGCACTAACTGTAAAAAAGTATACGTAGACTCTAAAAATGGATATATTTATTTGGAGATTTTCATTTTACTAAAATATTATAAGTGAATAATTAAAATGATTATTCTTTACATTTTAATTAAAATTTGATGAACTAGACAAAATAATGTGTTTTCTTCTTTATATTAAATAAAATGAACAAAACAATGTAAATTATGTATGTGCATTATATTATAATATAAACAATAACATTTTTTTAAATTCATTAATCTTCATAAATATGCTTAATCAGACATAAACAATTGTAGCCAGTTTAAAAGAATTTTAATTTCCATTGCCCTAATACATTGTATTATTTTATTCAACGTTTTATTATTAAATATATAAAATATAAACATGCATCTAATTGTAGTACTATTCTAATTTCAGTTAACGTTTTGGCAAATGAATGTCTTCTTGACTCTTGTTCCTTTCTTGGTAGTAGAGAATGGTGTCAAATTGAATCGGAACACGGTGGTTCTGAGCAATCTTCCAGGAAATAACAGTGCGAATCTTATCAGTGGCCACAAAATAAGAGACGTCTTAATATGGGCTCCGAACTTTTTGAAATGCGGTAAAACGAACTCAGAATAAAAAGTATGTCATAAAAATATTGAACTTTTAAAGGTATCACCTGCACAATATTAACGTACGACGGATTGTTTCGTTTCGGATTACTGGTGGACAAAGAGATCATAAAGAAGAGATCGGATGTGCAGGAAATTTGCGACAACATATTCAAGTACATCGATCTGTTGGATACGATGACCAAGGCTTATGAAGAGAATTGCATTCAATTGTAACTAAAATGTCATCAAATATTGTATTGTATAAAAATAAGAATATTACTAAAACAGGAATTATTCTTGATCAAAAACTCAACGTCAGTTTTCATTCCAAACAACTCAAGTCCAAAATTAATTCCATTGCCTGTTATTTCCATTCTCTGACCTTGCGTACTTCCGGAATATCTATCCAATGTCTAACATCCATCTATCCCAATGCCGAGATCCCGTCCTAAGAAACCATTCTCTATCGGAACGTTATGTCCTTCGTATCCTCACCAAAATACGGCATCCTAATAAGCCTTGGTGCAACATTCTTTGTTACATGAAAAAATTATAAATAACAAATTAACGCATGTTTTCACTCCGAGAGTAAAAAAATACTTGCTTTGATGAGAATAAATAATTAAAACATAAATTTATTCTATATTATCAAAAATATAAGTGATTTGTTATCATCTTGAGTTGCATATGTAAATATATAACATATAAAATGTAGATAGTTTCACTAAAACAAAAAGAAATTGCTCGAATAAGAGTAACAAAAGTTGGTTATAAGTAAATTACAAAATAAGTAATACAACAAAAAGTTTGAAAGTTTTTTAGAAAATCTATACATTTTTTCTATATTTATGGCACCTTTAAAGTAATTATCCAAACTACTTTTAATTCTTAAAAATTAATTTAATATATTTTTAGCACTGAAAACTTATTGGCCAATTGCATTGGATTATATTGCTAGCATTATACTTAATATGCACCATTTCTTTGTGCTTACTGCTAATTATTTTAGCGATTTACTATAAAATTATCAATTTCGTATTGAAGTTAAAGCCTGAAGTTAAAACCTGTCCGTATCCGAACGTTCCGACCTTCGTATCCTCACCAAAATACGACATCCTAATAATCCTCTACACAATCCTCCTAATGATCTCCTTTACTCCAAAACCAAAATAGTCCCTCTCCTCGACCGATACCTGTCCCTCTCCTTGAAATTTAAATCCAAACAATCCAACATAGCCTCCCTCTCTAAATGTCCCACGAAACCCAAATGTCCTTCCCAAATTTAAATATCCCACATTATCCTTATTCCAATACCTAATGTCCCTCGATTGATATACACTTGCTCCTAATCCGCTGCTTTCTTTTCCATCATTCTTCTCTAATTATTTCAGCGATTTACTACGAAATTGTCAATTTCGTGTTAAAGCACGGGAATGATTATTATGGTATTATGGATAGATCTGGTTGTTGAAGAAAAAAGCTATTTGTTAATCAACTCGCTTTTCAGGATCGATGCCAAAGATGGGGAAGTATCTGAACCGCTTTTTGAATTCATGCTAAACTCCTACTAGAAAATCAGCACGAGAAGATTTTTCATGGGTTATGAGTATTTTCTCAAGACGCACATCAACATCCACGAGTACGTGAAATATTTAGAGAACTACAAGGATGTGGAAGGATTAAACTTGTTAATGGATAAGCTAACGGCTTTGTGGGAAGTGTATATTGGAAGGGTGCCTTTAAAGTGGGAAAAGAACGGAGCTAAAGTTCAGTATCCAATTATCATCAAATATCAGTATCTCATTAGTCATTTTAATTGAAAATGGGGTGAACATAATGAAAGAAAAGTATGAAACCTACAGAAACGTCCTTAAAAAGATAGAATTAAAAAAAATACTTAGTTTTCAATTCCCGTTCCATTTTGCAGAATAATCCGGAGAAGATTCGTTTCGCATTACCGTATTATATAGCTTCGAGCAACTTCAATAGCATAGTGACGACTGGTGCCAATGGAGAAATCGTTGCAAACTTGAAGAACAACTTTGCATTGAACATCCATATGAAGGACAAAGACATCACCAGGAATAAGGTGGATAGGTTGATGTGCGTTAATAAGGATTCGGAAGTTTATATTTTCCGATGAGTCAAATTTCTTTGTCGTTTCCTCAATATTGGCGTTTGCGTTTCAATATTGGCGCAATAAAATATGCACTTGTAATGAAAATAAATACTTTTCTGTCGACTATAATATGAAATTATATGCTTTTATTAAGTGCGTGACGTATTTTATAAACGTCTGGCTTAGTGAAACAAGTGTTCTTAACCTTTTTATTTTCAACGAATTAGAAAAAATATTCTTAATATTCGGATGAAAATTGCATAAATTATACAAATTAATATATTTTGTTATGTTTCTATAATGCGTCATTATTTTCTTGATGTTAGTTAAAATGTATAAAAAACAATGTACATTATGTATGAGCATTTTTTTTATGTGCAGTAATATTCTTTAAATGGAAATAAATATGCTTCATCGTCCAGCAAAAGTTGCAACATATTAAAAACAATGATTTTTTATTTCTGCATGCGAACTTAATTAAATATTATTGAATAAATTAAAATAGTTGTATTATTATGATTATATGCTGCGTTATTGTTCAAGACAAAATAAATATGTTTTAAATATTATTCTAATTTTAGTTCATATTTTGGCATATCAAAGTCTTCTCGAGTATTGTTCCGTTATTGATAGTAAAATATTGTGTCAAATGGAATCGGAACACAACCATCGTGACCAATATTCCAGGTAACAACACTGCAAATCTCATCAGTGGCCACAGAATTAGAGATTGCATATGCTGGGCTTCAAACATTTTGAAATGCTGTAAAACAAACTTTCTTATAACGAAATTTATGTAAAAAAAATACTGAACTTTTGTAGGTATCACCTGCTTAATATTTACGTATGACGGACTGTTTCGTTTCGTATTACTGGTGGACAAAAAAATCATAAAGAAGAGATCGGATGTGCAGGAAATTTGCGATAACATATTCAAATACATCGATCTGTTGGATACGATGACCAGAACGGTTTATGATAAAAATTAAATTTATGTAAACGAAAACTAAAATTAGGACATTGACTTTAGCATGTATAAATTGAAATGTATCCATATATTGATTTATAATAATACTTAATTTAAAAATTATTAAATCTCACTTGAAGGTAATAAAAATTAACTAATTTAAGTTTTATAAATTCAAACGTTTTTGTAACACTATGTGATAAAATCGTTATAAATATTCGTGATTCAATTTTGTTCAGAGTCAACGATCAATGCATATAAAGCCAAAATTTATTTTTTCAATTTCTAATATATTTATGTGAACTATAACAGCAGACACCTTGGTTTGGGCTCCAAGCTATTTGAAATGCGGTAAAACATACTTTATCATAACGAAACTTATGTAAAGAAAAATTGAACTTTTGGAGGTATCCCCATAATACTATTTACGTACGAGGAATTGTTTATGCCCAGCGTCTCAAAATCTAAATACGGACCTGGCAAAAAACAAAGGTTGTGAACTTACTGTATGTTTGTGTGTGTGTGTGCGTGTATACGTCTGCATTGAATTTCGTTCAGCTTTTTTAATTGAAGTTGAAACTCCGTCCGAGGATCAAGCTTCCACTTCTATTTCAATCTTGCGTTCGTTTAGTCTGTGAATATTTGTTGACAAGATGCAATCTCTAAAAAAACTTTTGAACATTGGTAAGTTCACATTTGAACATTAATTTACCGATTTAAATTTTCGTTTTTTTTAGGAAATCTGTACATGTTTTTCTATATGTTTTGCACCTTTAAAGTAATTATCGAATTTACTTTTATAGCTTAAAAAGTAATTTAATTCTCTTTTAGCGCTCAAAATTTATTGGTCAATTACATTGGATTATATTGCTACCATTATCCATAATATGCACCATTTTATTTTGCTTATTGCTCATTATATTAGCGATTTACTACGAAATTATCAATTTCGTGTTGAACTTAAAGCACGGGGATGATTATTGCGGGATTATGGATGGATCCGATGTAATTTGGGTCGTTGAAGAAGAGACCTTTTCGTTAATCAAAATGCTCTTCATGGTCGATGCAAAAGATGGGGAAGGCTGTGAACCACTTTTTGAATTCGTGAAAAGAACCTACGAGAAAATCGCCAAAACGCACAATAAGATGAGCTGCGTTCGAAGATATTTCATGGGTTACGTGTATTTCCTCAAAACGCAAATCAACATCCATGAGCATGTAAAGTATTTGGAAGACTACAAGGATGTGGAAGGATTTAACTTACTGATGGATAAGTTGAGTGACTCCCCTTTACCAGCTGGGAATACGGCTCTGTGGGAAGTGTATGTTGGAAGGGTTCCTTTAAAATGGGAAAATAATGGAGGTAAAGTTCAGTATCCAATTTTAATGAAGTATCATCACAGTATTGGCGACGGAATGTCATTAATAACTTTGATAACAACAAATTTAATTAATAATGGGGTGAATAGCATGAAAGAAAACTGCAAAAATTACAGTAATATCCTTAAAAAGTCGGACTTGAACAATTCGAAACCTACTTTCCTGGAGAATGTAAAGAAATTGTTCTATAAAAGTTACTATATTTCATATTTCGGTCCACTGGATGACAGTGATGAAAACATTCTGCACGAAAAACACTTGAGTCACCAAAAGCACGTCTGCTACTCCTTGGAGAAAGAGACCACAAATTACGTGGAGAAAGTAAAGTCTATTAAGAATCGAATTAAGGGAATTTCTTTTAATGATGTAATCCTGTCAGCGTTTTCCGCGAGTTGTGCCGATTATTGCATGTCTCTCGACGAGGTAATGATGCCTGTAATTGAATGAACTTAGTTTTCAATTCCCGTTCCATTTTTAGAATCCTCCGGAAAATATTCGTTTCGCATTACCGTATTATATAGCTTCGACCAACTTCAATAGCTTAGTGACTACTGGTATCAATGGAGAAATCGTTACAAACTTGAAGAACAACTTTACATTGGGTGTACAAAACATCCCTATCAAAGACAAGGACATCGCCAGGAATATGGTGGACAGATTAATGTGCATCAATCAGAATTCGCAAACTTCCAAAGACAGTTTAGATTTTCTGGTAAGTCGGGAAATCTATTTTCCTTATTTTATTAAATATTGGCGCAATAATCTCTCCTTTCCTCTTTTGATACCTTTCTCATGATACCGCATCAAAAAATTCGTATACACTTATTATATTCTATCATTAATGAAAATAAATAATATACATTCAATATATTTCTGTAAATGACTTTCTCTAAGTCACCACGAAGTACAAAAAAATGTGCATTAAGTATGATATATTATATGCAATAATATTTTTTTAATACAAAGTTAAATATGAAATAAACATATAATATTTTCTATTTTCAGTTTAATAATTGGCAAATGAATGTCTGCGCGAGTATTGCTCCGTTTTTTGTGATAGAGAAAATGGCGAAATTGAATCATAACACGGTAGTTCTGACCAATTTTCCAGGAATCCAAAGTTTTAATCTCGCCAGTGGCCACAGGATTAGAGACATTGTAGCCTGGGCTCCACACTTTTTGAAATGCGGTAAAACAATCTGTCTCATAATGAAACTTATGTTAGACAAATATTGATACATTTTTCAGGTATCACCTGCACAATATTTTCGCACGACGGATTCTTTCGATTCGGATTAATAGTAGACAAAGAGATTATAAAGAAAAGATCAGAAGTGCAGGAAATTTGCGATAACATTTTCAAATACATCGATTTGTTGGACACAATGACCAGGACGGCTTATGATGAAAATTAAATTTATGTAGCCGACAACTAGATTTAGGACATTGATTTTAGCATGGAGAAATTGAATTGTATCCATATATTGAGTTATAATAATACTTAATTTTAATAATTGTACTGGTAAAAAAATTAAAGGTAATAAAAATTAATTTAAATTTTACAAATTCCTTTTTATTAAATATATTTGATAATTTTACACATTGAGATAAAAAACGTTTTTGATGGTGTAACAAACACCTTATAAATATTCGTGATTACTGTATACAAAGTTCACTCTTGTTCAGAGTCGAAGGTCAATCCATATAAATAGATCTAGTTATTTAATAATAATAATTATGCATAAAATAATGCCGACACCTTAGTTTGGGCTCCAAGCTATTTCAAATGCGTTAAAAAAAAGAACTTTTGCAGGAATCGCCATAATACTATTTACGTCCGAGGAACTGTTTCGTTTCGGATTAAAGGTAGACAACGAGGTTATAAAGAAGAAATCGGAGGTGCGGACACTTTATGACAACAATTTCAAATACATCGACTTTTGGACACGATGATTATGATTAGATATAATTCAATTGCAAAAAAATGCAATTCAATGACTTCTCGAGTATTATTCTGTTACTCCATATTTATGCCCGGTGCTTCAAAATCTTAAACACGGATCTGCCAAGAATCAAAGATTGTGAATCGAATCGTTCGGCTTTATTCAATTGATGTTGAAATTCCGTTCGAGCCACAAGTTTGCACTTCTATTTTAATCTTGCGTTCATTCAGTGTGTCAATAATTGTTGATAAGATGCAATCTCTAAGAAAACTTTTGGACATTGGTAAGTCCCCATTTCAACATTAATTTAATGATTTAAATTTTCATTTTTTTTAGGAAATTTGTACACTTTTTTCTATATTTATGGCACCTTTAAAGTAATTATCCATGCTGCTTTTATAGCTTAAAAATTATTTAATTCTTTTTTAGCACTCAAATCTTATTGGCCAATTGCATTGGATTATATTGCTACCATTATCCTTAATATGCACCATTTTCTTGTGCTTATTGCTTATTATTATAGCGATTTACTACGAAATTATCAATTTCGTCTTGAGGTTAAAACACGGGGATGATTATTGCGGGATTATGGATGGATCGGATGTAATTTGGGTCGTTGAAGAAGTGACCTCTCCGTTTATCAAAACGCTCTTGATGGTCGATGCCAAAGATGGGGAAGACTGTGAACCTCTTTTTGAATTCATGAAAAGCACCTACGAGAAAATCGCCAAAACGCATACGAAGATGAGCTGGGTTCGAAGATATTTCATGGGTTACGGGTATTTCCTCAAAACGCACATCAACATCCAAGAGCATGTGAAGTATTTGGAGGACTACAAGGATGTAGAAGGATTAAACTTACTGATGGATAAGTTGAGTGACTCCCCTTTACCAGCTGGGAATACGGCTCTGTGGGAAGTGTATGTTGGAAGGGTTCCTTTAAAATGGGATAAAAATGGAGGTAAAGTTCAGTATCCAATTTTCGCCAAGTATCATCACAGTCTTGGCGACGGAATGTCATTAATGACTTTGATAACATCACAGTTCATTGTTAATGGGGTTAATATCGTGAAAGAAAGCTGCGAAACTTACAGAAACGTTCTTAAAAAGTCGGCCTTGACAAAATCGAAACCTACTTTCCTGGAGAATGTAAAGAAATTGTTTAATAAAAGTTACTATATTACATATTTCGGTCTGCTGGATGACAAGGATGAAAACATGCTGCACCAAAACCGTTTAAGCAACGAAAAGCACATATGCTACTCCTTGGAGAAAGAGTCGACGAATTATGTGGAGAAAGTAAAATCTATCAAGAATCGGTTTAAGGGAATCTCTTTTAATGATGTAATCATGTCAGCATTTTCCGCGAGTTGTGCCGAGTATTACATGTGTCACGACAAGGTAATGATGTCTGCAATTGAAAGAATCTAGTTTACAATTCCTGTTCCATTTTGTAGAATCCTCCGGAAAATATTCGTTTTGCATTACCGTATTATATAGCTTCGAGCGACTTTAATAGCATAGTGACTACAGGTACCAATGGGGAAATCGTTGCAAACTTGAATAACAACCTTGCATTGGGTTTTCTCAACATCCCTATCAAAGACAAGGATATCACCAGGAATATGGTGGACAGGTTGATGTGCATCAATAAAAATTCGACAATTTCTAAGGATAGTTTAGATTTTCCGGTAAGTCGAGAAATCTCTTTTCATTATTTCATTAAATATTGGCGCAATAATCTCTGCTTCCCTCGTTTGAAACTGTCTTTGATAGCAGATCAAAATATTCATACACACTTGTTATGTTCTATCATTTTAATTAATTTAATGAAAATAAATAGTATTCATTCAAAATTTGTCTGTGGATGACTTTCTTGAGATATTTGCATCTATTAATTATATAATTAATTCGGAAATACAATTAACTACTTTAAAGAAGTATGCTTAATCTACAAAGCTACACACGTATTTTGTTTATGTTAGTGAAAATGATTGAAAAATGTGCATGTAATATCATTCTAATTTCAGTTCGTATATTGACAAATCAATATCTTCTCGACTATTGTTCCGTTATTGGTAATAAAGAAAATAGTCAAATCGAATCACAACACGGTAGTTCTCAGCAATTTTCCAGGAATCCACAGTGTTAATCTCATCAGTGGCCACAGGGTTAGAGACTCTTTAGTCTGGGGTCCAAACTTTTCGATATGCGGTAAAACGAACTTTTTCATAACGAAAATAATGTGATAAAAATATTGAACTTTTGCAGGTATCACCTGCTCAATATATACGTACGACGGACTGTTTCGTTTCGGATTAGTTGTAGATAAAAATACCATAAAGAAGAGATCGGAGGTACAGGCAATTTGGTACGACCAGTGCGGTTTATGATGAAAATTAATTTTATGCACGGACAACTGGGATTAGGAAATTTATTATAGCATGGGTAATTTGAATTGTATCCATATATTGACTTATAATAATACTTAGTTTTAATAATTGTACAGGTAAATCTACGTTGATTGTTATAATAATTAAACAATTTAAATTTTACAAATTCTTTCTTATTAAATATATTTAATAATTTTACTTATTCAGATCAAAAACTTTTTTGATTTTCCGCTGTGTAACAAACTCGTTATAAATATTCCTGTTTGTTCTATACAAAGTTCAATTTTGTTTAGAGTCAAAGGTCAATGCATATAAATAGATATATTATTATTTATGCGTTATTTAATAGTAATAACTGTGCATAAAATAAAGAGCCTGAGTTTATTTTTCAATTATTAATATATTTCTGTGATATACACACCTTAGTCTGGGCTTCAAGCTATTTGAAATCCGATAAACGATACTTTATCATAACCAAACTTATGTAAACTTTCAATTACATTGATGCCGTTGCAGGCCATCAACTTCGTTTCCGTTCCAGCAGCTTTTATGATCGTCAACAGTTAGACAGTTTCCCTTGGGTCTACATCAGAGGTTCCCAAACTTTTTTGTGTCGTAGACCCCTTGTCATGTTTTTCGGTTTTGGGTAGACCCCCTACTTACCTGATATTGATTTTTGTAAATTTATTATTTATATTGGGACATCTTTATAATTATTAAGATCTTTGCTCTGAGACTGCGCGTATGCTTGTAACAAGATAATACTGGTATATCATTATGTGCAGGTTTTTAGAAGTTCAAAATGTATTGCGACCAGAAAGCGAATGCCTACATCCTACAACTTACACAATTTTATAAACATATATAATATATTTTTTACTTCAAAGGTACTTTTATAAATAATGTATATGTCTTTATATTATAGGATAGTATAATGTAAGTACTATAAGTGTTTGTTGAGATCCATTATCGTGGACCCCCGTTTTCATTTCATTGACCCCTAAATTTTTTTTCGCTGACGTAGACCGCTTGCAGGTTGTCATAGACCCCTGTGGGTCGATATAGTCCACTTTGGGAATCACTGGTTTGCATTACGAGATTGCACTATTATGAATATTATTTTATTGAAATTTATTCGAATTGAGTTAGCTTAAATGAAAAATTAAAAGAAAAATTTGTTTTGATTAGAATTACTGCGTGGATGATATATATTTCTAATTATTATTATATATTGAACAGACATACTTCAGTCGATAGCCTTTTGATCTAATAAAGACAGAGGTCAAACGGGCAATTGCTTGGGGCCTCGCGAAATAGGGCGCCCTCCCCAAAAGTGTTAGTTGTGGCCTTATTTGTTATTTATGCCTCAAAATCCAAAGGATTTTACGGCCCTGAATAAAGATTATTAATATTATTATATAAATTGTGTTTTAAATAATTTCATAATAAATAAGTTTATTTTATATGTTATTATATGTAATTGTAAATCTTTATAAATAGAACATCTAATAGATCTTGAATTTCGATGTACTTGCAATTCTTAATGTGTTACAAAACAGTATACGAAATTTGTGCTACTCCTTGGAGAAAGAGACCACAAATTACGTGGAGAAAGTAAAGTGTATTAAGAATCGGATTAAGGGAATTTCGTTTAATGATGTAATCCTGTCAGCGTTATCCGCGAGTTGTGCCGAGTATTGCATGTCTCACGACGAGGTAATGATGCCTGTAATTGAATGAACTTAGTTTTCAATTCCCGTTCCATTTTAAGAATCCTCCGGAAAGATATAGCTTCGACCAACTTCAATAGCTTAGTGACTACTGGTATCAATGGAGAAATCATTACAAACTTGAAGAACAACTAAACATCCCTATCAATGACAAGGACATCGCCAGTAATATGGTGGACAGATTAATGTGCATCAATCAGAATTCGCAAACTTCCAAAGACAGTTTAGATTTTCCGGTAAGTCGAGAAATCTATTTTCCTTATTTTATTAAATATTGGCGCAATAATCTCTCCTTTCCACTTTTGATACCTTTCTCATGATACCGCATCAAAAAATTCGTATACACTTATTATGTTCTATCATTAATGAAAATAAATAATATCCATTCAATATATTTCTGTAAATGACTTTTTCTAAGTCACCACGAAGTACAAAAAAATGTGCATTAAGTATGATATATTATATGCAATAATATTTTTTTAATACAAAGTTAAATATAAAATAAACATATAATATTATTCTATTTTCAGTTTAATACTTGGCAAATGAATGTCTGCGCGAGTGTTGCTCCGTTATTTGTGACAGAGAATACGGCAAATTGAATCATAACACGGTAGTTTTGACCAATTTTTCAGGAATCCAAAGTTTTAATCTGTGGGCCTGGGCTCCACACTTTTTGAAATGCGGTAAAACAATCTATCTCATAATGGAACTTATGTTAGACAAATATTGATACATTTTTCAGGTATCACCTGCACAATATTTTCGCACGACGGATTATTTCGATTCGGATTATAAAGAAAAGATCAGAAGTGCAGGAAATTTGCGATAACATTTTCAAATACATCGATTTGTTGGACACAATGACCAAGACGGCTTATAATGAAAATTAAATTTATGTAGCCGACAACTAGAATTAGGACATTGATTTTAGCATGGAGAAATTGAATTGTATCCATATATTAAGTTATAGTAATACTTAATTTTAAAAATTTTACTGGTAAAAAAAATTGAAGGTAATAAAAATTTTACAAATTCCTTTTTATTAAATATATTTAATAATTTTACACATTGAGATCAAAAACGTTTTTAATAGTGTAACAAATACCTTATAAATATTCGTGATTACTGTATACAAAGTTCACTTTTGTTCATAGTCGAAGGTCAATCCATATAATCAGATCTAGTTATTTAATCATAATAATTGTGCATAAAATAATGCCGACACCTTAGTTTGGGCTCCAAACTATTTCAAATGCGTTAAAAAAAAAAGAACTTTTCGGGTATCGCCATAATACTATTTACGTCCGAGGAACTGTTTCGTTTCGGATTAAAGGTAGACAACGAGGTTATAAAGAAGAAATCGGAGGTGCGGACACTTTGTGACAACAATTTCAAATACATCGACTTTTGGACACGATGATTATGATTAGATATAATTCAATTGCAAAAAAATGCAATTCAATGACTTCTCGAGTATTATTCCGTTACTCCATATTTATGCCCGGTGCTTCAAAATCTTAAACACGGATCTGCCAAGAATCAAAGATTGTGAATCGAATCGTTCGGCTTTATTCAATTGATGTTGAAATTCCGTTCGAGCTACAAGTTTGCACTTCTATTTTAATCTTGCGTTCATTCAGTGTGTCAATAATTGTTGATAAGATGCAATCTCTAAGAAAACTTTTGGACATTGGTAAGTCCCCATTTCAACATTAATTTAATGATTTAAATTTTCATTTTTTTTAGGAAATTTGTACACTTTTTTCTATATTTATGGCACCTTTAAAGTAATTATCCATGCTGCTTTTATAGCTTAAAAATTATTTAATTCTTTTTTAGCACTCAAATCTTATTGGCCAATTGCATTGGATTATATTG